AGATGTTCCACAACAACAATTACAATCAGTAAGTTCTCCTACTGAGACAGAACAAGATTCGGATCGTTCACAACAGCCAAAAATTATAAGTAAAAAGAAATATGAAGAAATGGATACTAAAGAAAAAATAGTGGCTGAAGCGTCACATACTTTATCAGAGGTGACTACTCAATTAGAAGTTGAAATACAAGAACCTTCTCTGGCTGCAGATGTTACACAACAACAATTACAATCAGTAAGTTCTCCTACTGAGGCACAACAACATTCTGATCGTTCACAACAGTCAAAAATGACAGAGGATAAGATACCTGAAAAAATTGATACAGAAGAAAAAAAAAAGGATGAAGCGTCACCTACTTCATCAGAAGTGACTACTCCATTAGGAGTTGAATTGGAAGAGCCATCTCTGGCTGGAAATATTCCACAACAACAATCACAACCTTTTAGTTTTCCAGCTGCAACAACACAAGATTCGGATGATTCACAACGGCACATTAGTTTTATGACAGAGAAATATGCAGAAAATATTGGAGAAGAAATGACGGATGCTGAAGTGTCACATGTTTTGGCAACAGAGACGAATTTACAACTGATTAAAACTGAAGAACCTTCTTCTTCTAGAGATGTTCCAGAAATAATAGCTACTTATCGTGGTGACACAACAAATGATGAGTCACCACAAGCAGATATTTCACAACAAGATAGTAGTTCGCTACAAGAAAGTAGTTCGCTACAAGAAGATAGTTCGCTACAAGAAGATAATTCGCTACAAGGAGGTAGCTCACTACAAGAATATAGTTCACAATCAGAAGAAAGCTTGGGGGAAGAAATGTCAGATATGTTGAATTATCTGCATTGGATGCAAATTGGATCTTCAAAACCTACTTCATCTTTACAAGAAGAACAATCCGAACCAGTTGTTTCTCATGATGAAGCAAAACATGAATTAAATGTTCCACAAAAAGAAAGTCGGTCAAGAAAAAGGTCAAACGAAAGCTCAAGTGAAAACTCGGATATCGATGATTTACAAAAAAAAGGAAGTTCACCAGAAGCAGATATTTCATCAGAAAAAGATGGTTCACGAAGGAAAAAAATATGTCTAGAAAAAAGAAGACGTTATGATTCTACTTCAACAACAGATGAAGATAAAGGTGAAAAGACTGATTTGGAGAAACCATCTTCCTCTGTTCCAAAAGAACAATCTGAACCAGCTAGTTCTTCTTCTGAGACAAGACAAGATTTGGATGATTCACAACGGCAAATTGGTTCTAGTAAAGAGAAATATGACGAAATTTCTATAGAAGAAACAGTGGAGGCTAAAGAGTCACATATTTTGGCAGAAGAGACAACTTTACCAGTGGTTGAAACGGAAGAACCTTTTTTGTCAAGAGATGTTCAACAACAACAATTACAACCAGTTAGTTCTCCTGCTGAGACAAAACATGAATTAGATTTTCCACAAAAGGCAAGTAGATTAAGGAAAAGGTCATATGCAAGAACGGATATGGAAATAGGTAGTTTACAAGAAGGAGGTAGCTCACAACAAGCAGATAATTCACAAGAAGCAGATAGCTCACAAAGGGAAGTTATAAAAAAAAGAAAACGTTCTGATTCTTCTTTAACAACAGATGAAAATAAAAGTAAAAAAATTGGATTGGAAGAACCTTCTTCGTCTGTCCCAAAAGAACAATCCAAACCAGTTGTTTCTTGTGATAAGACAAAACATGAATCAGATGTTCCACAAAGTGCAGGAATTAGGTTAAGGAAGAGGTCATATGAAGCAACGATAGCCAAAAAAGTTAGTTTAGACGATCCATGTTGCTCATTTCAAACAGATAGTTCACAAGAAGGAGATAGTTCACAAAAAAAAATTCGAAAAGATTCTAATTCTGATTCTTCTTCATCATCAGATTAGAAAAGATGGGAATATAAAAAAAGACAATATAAATCGTATTATTGTCTAGAAGACTAAATTGTCTTCTATGTTAATTATACACTTAAAGCGTTAATGTTTTATGTAAATTATGTTATACATTATATATACTTCTAGATAAATTAATGTTTTTATAAATGTATTGAATATTGTTATTAATTATATAGATATAATTTATATATTTATAACAATTACATTATAAATTATATTATTATTAGATAATAACTGTAATATATTATTAAATAATAATATATTTTTATAAAATAATTAATGTAAGATCATCTTTTCTTTTTTTATTAAAAAGAACAAATTATAGAAACAACTTTAAAGGAGATATATATGATAGCTTACATATATACAGAAATATAATATAAATTATATGAAACTTAGCGATTAAAAACATTTTATTGAATACAAAAAATTTGACCAACACTTTTTACTTGTTTGATTTTTAATTTTTTTTGTTAGTCTTGCTTTTATATTCTTATAAAAATTCTTTATTGTAAAAAAATACAATTATAACCTGTGTGAACTAAATAAACTATTTTATATAACATTTTAATTTGAATATTTTAATTATTTTCTTTCCTCAGTTACTATATCCTTTTTAAACACCTTATGTTTATGATGTAAAATTTTAAATTAAATATAAAATATTACTATATATATTTATTAAATATATTAAANTAATCAAGAAATGCAAATTACAACTTCATCCGATGACGAAGTAATATATTACATTTGTTCCTAATCAAGTAATATATGACAAATATTAATTGATATTGATTTAAAACACTAGCCAAGACACTCAACATCTTACCAGGGGTCACTTCAGGAGGGGAGTACTCATCAGGGGGGAAGTCAAATGGCAACTCTTCCAATTTCTGAGGGTACATCTACTCAAGAATGGAGATCACCAGACAAACCAAAAAAAAAGGTAACACCACCAAATAGATTACAAATGGTATGAAAATAATTGTTTGAATGAAATAAGACATATATTAATTGAAATTCATTTAATACCAGCTAAGACCTTACTCAAAGCCGTTTCAAAGTAGTGAAACCTCAACTGAAACAGATATAGATTTATGTGGATCAGAAGGTTCTTCGGACAATCAGTCGAGATTACAGATGACAGATACACGTAAAAAAAAATATATTAAAATAATAAATACACGAAGCAAGGTAAATGTAGTTTATTTATAATTTGAATGATTTAAAATTTTTTCCCTTTTATTTTTTCTTATAAAAATAATTTTTTTTTATATAATAGTCACTTAAGAAACTAACATTAGACAGTCATACTGATGAAACTTCTTCATCAAGCACTGACTCGAAATTATCACTTCATTACACTATGCCAGATAAAGAGAAACAAATTATGCATAGTTTGGGTGAAGAATATATAAAAGAAATACCTACTGCTTCAGAAAAAGAATCTAGTTCACAACAAGCAACTAGTTCACAACAAGCTACTATTTTACAACCGCCAAAACTGACATTGAAGAAGGAAGATAAAAAAATGGAAGTTAAAAGTATGATGAATTTATCGTCAAGTTCATTGCCACAAGTGTCTACTTCATTGGAAGTTCCAATGGAAGAATCTTCTCTGTCTGAAGAGGTTTCACAAGAACAATCAGATCCCATTAGTTCTTATGCTGAAACAACAGATGATTCGGATGATACACAACGGCTTAAAAGGAAAAGTAAAATGAAACATAAAGAAATGGATACAAAAGAAAAAACGGAGGCAAGAATGTCACATTTTTCGACAGAAGTGACTACTCCATTTGAAGTTCAAATGGAAGAATCTTCTTTGTCTGAAGAGGATTTACAAGGACAATCACAACCATCTAGTTCTTGTGCTGCGCCAACACATCATTCGGATGATTCACAACGACCAAAAATGATTGGTAAAGGGAAACCTGAAAAAATAATAATAGAAGAAACAAAGAAGCCTGAAAGATCACATACTTTATCAGAAGTGACTAGTCCATTAGAAGTTGGATTGGCAGGACCTTCTTCGTCTGTTCCAAAAGAACAATCAAAACTAGTTAGTTTTCCTGCTAAGAAAATACAAGAATCAGTTAGTTCAGAACGGCAAAGCAGGTCTAGGAAAAAGAAATATGAAGAACTAATGGAGATGGATCCGGTTAGACCAAGACACCGAAGTAGGTCTAGGAAAAGGAAATATGCAAGAATGTATATAGAAGAAAATAGGGATGCTAAAAGGTCACATCTTTCGACAGAAGAGACGACTCCATTAGAAGTTCAAATGGAAGAATCTTCTTTGTCTGGAGATGTTCCAGATATACCAGTTACTCATCTTGGTGAAACAATATATGATACTTCAGATGATTCATCAAGTGATACTGATATCTAAGAACAAGTAGATACTTCACAACGAGCAAAACATAAATTAGATGTTCCATAGGGGGAACATAAGTTATGGAAAAAGTCATATGAAAGGACAGATATCAAAATAAGTAATTTACAAGATGCAGGTAGCTCACAACAATTATATAGTTTTAGTTTATCAGAAGCAGATAGTTTACAATAGAAAGGTATAAAAATTAGAATAGAAAACTTTTTGATTATTCTTCAACAACAGATGAAGATAAAGATGGAAATAAAGGAATATAAAAAGAAAGACAATATATATCATATTATTGTCCAGGAGACTTGAATGTCTTCTATGTAAATTAAACATTTAAAGCGTTAATGTTTTATGTATATTGTATTATATATTGTGTATATATATTTTTATATAATTTATTCCTTATATAAATGTATTTAATATCGTCATTAATTATATAAATATATTTTATACATTTATAACAATTACATTTTAAATTATAATAATAATGTAATAATTGTAATATATTATTAAATAATAATATATTTCTATGAAATAATTAATGTACGATCATCTTCTAATATAATAACTGCCTTATATTAGAAAGAACAAATAGTAAAAACAACTGTAAAAGAGATATATATATATATATGATTGCTCTTATATACATAGAAATATAATATAAATTATATAAAACTTAGCGAGAAAGAATGAAATCATTTTATTGGATAAATATACATTTAATATGAATAAATATGATACATCATAATTTTAAAATATAAAATGATATCAATGATTAACAATTTTTATGTATTAAATTGTAATTTTGTATTTGTTCCATTTTATATTTAAACAATGGGAAAAAACTTTTATGCTATTATTAATAAAATTTGATTAACATTTTTTACTTCTTCTTGTTAGTTTTGCTTTTATAATTCTATTAAAATTCTTTATTGTAAAAAATACAATTATTACCTGTGTGAACTATTTATACTATTTTATAGAACATTTTAATTTGATTTTTTTAATTATTTTATTTCCTAAATTACTATCTCCTTTCATACACTTAATGGTGATGATTTAACATTTTAAATTTTTATATAAAATATTATTCTATATATTAATTAAATATATTAAATGTATATATTAGGAGTACAAATAAGTTTCCGCCGTTTTGAGAGAGATGGCATGGCACGAGGCTTACGTTAGAATTCGCAGATGATAATCGGCTTGAAAATTAGGTTGCTCATTCAAGAGCAACATAACCCTATCATATTATTACCTTCGTATTAGCATCATATTTTTTTTTTAATTCAAAAATGTCTAAATTTGATTCAAATAAGCATCATTTGCGGGAACTTTTATATTAACTTCTTTAATTTAAAAAAATCTGCAACTGAGGCTCATCGATTGCACGTAGAAGCATATAATGAGGCTGCCTTGAGTGAGAGAACATGTTGTGAGTGATTTCAAAAGTTTAAAAACGGTGATTTTGACGTAAAAGACAAAGATCGCAGTGGAAGGCCAAAAAATTGCGAGGATGCAGAATTGGAGGAAGATTCGTCTCAAACACAAAAGGAACTTGCACTTATTTTAGAAGTCACTCAGCAAGCAGTCTCACATCGTTTAAAATCGTTAGGTATGATTCATAAACAAGGTAATTGGGTTCCATACGAATTAAAGCCGAGAGATGTTGAACGCCGATTAGGCATGAGTGAAATGCTGCTAACTAGGCACAAAAAAAAAAGGTTTTTTTACATCGAATCGTCCCTGGTGATGAAAAGTGTATACATTATGATAATCCAAAAAGAAGAAAATCATGGGGACTACCTGGCCACGTGTCAACATCCACAGCAAAACCGAATATTCATGGAAAAAAACTCACGCTTTGTATTTGGTGGGATCAGCTGGGTGTGGTGTATTACGAGTTGCTTAATCCAAACGAAACAATCACTGGAATTCTCTACCGAACACAATTGATGAGATTAAGCCGAGCTCTGAAGGAAAAATGCCCTGAATACTACTCCAGACACGACAAAATTATTCTTCTACATGATAATGCTCGTCCGTATATAGCAGTTCCGGTGAAAAACTATTTGAAAACACTTGATTGGAAAGTACTACCCCACCCGGCGTATTCACCAGACATTGCGCCATCCGACTATCATCTGTTCCGGTCAATAGCACATGTTCTGTCGGAGCAGCGGTTCACATCATATGAAGATACCAAAAATTAGGTTGATTCGTGAATAGCCTCAAAAGATATGGAGTTCTTCAGACATGGAATCCGAACGCTGCCTGAAAGATGGGAACAAGTAGTTGCTAGTGATGGACAATACTTCGATTAAATTTAAACTACTGTTCTTAAACGATAAATATTATTTTCTTGACAAAAAAAAGGCGGAAACTTATTTGTACTCCTAATATATTATATTATTATCATTGAACATAGCCGTTAATTATATGAATATATTTATTATATGTTGAATATAAACTATAGGAAACTTTAAATATCCTATATATAATAATATTTTATTTTATTCTTCTTATACTTTAATTTAATAATAAGAGCAAATGTTTATTGTTATCGTTAACAATGACACAAATAATGTTTTTAATAACAAATTTTGATGTATTTCAAATAATCGTTATTAAATTTAAGACTCGAGATATAAATTAAATGAAAAAAAAATAATTTATAGTTTTCCCTAGTAATTTTTTAATGAAAATTAAGTGTTTTTTCTTTTTTTTTTTAAATTGTTATCGAATAAATCATATAAACTTGGTTTAATTTATTATTGACAAATTATTATGCTATAATTTATAATATGTCCTTACACTTGTTGTAAATGATGTTTGTAAATATGTCGTAGTTCGAGATTCGATACTTAAGAGTCGAGATATTTAAAAATTTTTTTTTTCAAATTTCATATTACTTTCAATTTAATCTCAACTGAACGATCAATCTTCGTTCGATCTTGTCAGTTGGTGCGCCTATTTGACAGACAAGCATTACTTACAATGTGCTAATAATATTTTAATCAAATTCAATTAAAAAAAAAGCATTTTAAAATACGTGTTTCATCTTACGATATCTGATCATATACATAGAATTTTTTAATTTTTGTTTACTTTTCTCATTTTTCGTACTCTTTTAAATAATACGTTAACAAACAAAAAAACGCGGAATAAATTTGAGAATTATCTTTCATAAAACTCCCGTTACAGCTGTGACAAAAAGTAAATGTAATTAATATTATTCTGCAAAGTGTTTTTAATTAGTAATATTTCAATAACTTTTATCATTTATTCATATGATATATAAATCTACGAAAAGGTAATTAAATAAATAATTATAAATTATTATACAATGTATAATAAATATAATTTCTTTTTTGTATTTTTATTAATATTTCATTGTATTTCTAATCTATTAATTTATTTTTTTTTTTCTAAATAAAGATGAGCGACGAAGAACTTGTTCAGTGTCCTAATAATCCCAATCACCGGGTTCCTAGATGTCAAATAGACGAGCATGTAAATAAATGTAAATTATTGATGAATCTTAATCAAGAAATGCAAATTACAACTTCATCCGATGACGAAGTAATATATTACATTTGTTCCTAATCAAGTAATATATGACAAATATTAATTGATA